ATGTAATAATAATCATCTTTATGTAGTAGTTTTTAAAATTATTTGCATTTGATACGTTTTTTTCAGTTAGTGTTAATTAAAATATATTATTATATTATTACATTTTAGATAGGTTTGATATATTATAATATAGTGTTTTTTTCTCATATTGGTACCTACAATTTAAATGTTGGTATTGCGACAGAAAAGAAAAGACAGAAAAAATGCAAGCACGCATCTCATAACCGATCTACTATTGTAAAGTAACCCTGTGGATGCTGTGTGAATTTCAGTCTCAGAAATAAACAGTGGCGTTCATTCAGATTCCTTACTGCAATTCTAAGGATGCAAAACATGCATATAGAAGAAAAAGTAGTATTAGAAGAAAAGTAGTAGTCTCATTAAAGTATAAACATAGCATTCCAGGCATTTATATTATACTATACCAAATTTATAAATATAACAGTGAATTGATCACTGAAAGAAACAAATGGCATTATGATATTGGTAACCATTTAGTCAGTAATGTGTGACCCACCTCCCGCCTGTAATGGTAAAATTCCCATACTAAAGAAGGATCTCGAGAGAAAGCTTCAGGGGTTGCCAAATCCTGAAAGACAAAGAGAAGAAAAGAGAGACTCCTGTTAATGTTCGCTTATGTACATGTGGTGTGAAACTAAGAACTTGAAGAATAATGACAGGAAAGTATTAGAGTACTATTTATAATAGAATTATCTATATATATTCTGTTGTGCGGCACTTAAAAAATAAAACATCAATGTTCTGTTGTAAAAGAATTGTTATATTTTCATTTGATTAAATTGTTCATTTTAATATTTAATATTAATATATTAAAAGTATTATTATTAATAATGTTTGCTTGCTTACACGTGGTGTGACTACAGCGTTTATATGCTCTGTTACAGGTAGCCTGACAAATTTGGTCAGAGCTGTCAAATACAATAGATGTTGAAAGTTTACAGTCATTACATTTTGCAACGCAACCCATTTGTATATAATTCTGAATCATAAATTAAAGAAAAGTCATGCAGTATAATATACAACTGGTAGCCTACTGTAACTTTTCTTCTACTTTTCAAAGTCTCACACAGATTCCAATGAGGTGTTTTACATAGCAAAGAAAGAGGTCCTCTGGAGGTCGCATCCTCTGTAGGATGCATATACGAAGTGTCCTCAACCTAGAATTAAACGAGACGGCCTTCACACATTTTGGTGGCATTATGCAAATATTTCCACATAGTGAGGTAGATATGTGGGGGCGTGTTAAAACGAGGCGTTTTAGGGGGCGTGGCAGAGTCTTAAATTTGATAAAGAATATCTCTTTGGTTTTGAGACTTTAGTCTTTGCAACTTCAGGGATCTTATCTATGCGCAATCAGCTTGTAACACTCCAAAGAGAAAGGAAAACTTGAAATCGCATCATATGACCCCTTTAAGATATTAATGAAATCTGTTTAAGGTACATTCACATTAACAAAATGTTATACTATTTTATTATGCTTTTTAAAGACTTCAGAAATCAATGCATTAATTTGTAATTAATTCATATTCTTTGTTTTTCTAGTTTTTTTCCCCCAAAATAATTTTCTAAAATAAAAATAATTGTTAAACTCACATACATTGTAAACGTAATTAAAAATAAAATATTTTAATAAGATAATCCTTTAACAATTTGTTTTAGTATACAAACCCGATTCCAAAAAAGTTGGGACACTGTACAAATTGTGAATAAAAACAGAATGCAATGATGTGGAAGTTTCAGTCATTTTGGAAAATAATATTACATTAATATTCTCCTTTATATATAGCTGCCTTTATTTATCACCAGAAGGGATCATCACAAAGGGATTGTCATATTTGAGTCCTAGCATCAAAACGTTTGAAAAACCTTGGTATACTTATATATTGAAACTAAGATCACATAGTAGTGTGATGTGTATACAATATGTGTGGGTTACCTGTGCCTGCCATTTCCTCCAGTAGCCCCCCTGTCCTCTAAAGGTTGGTACTCCACTCTCTGCACTCACTCCGGCCCCCGTAATGATAGCAACGTGCTTGGCTTTAGCAAAATCCTCACAAAACTCTGTTAAATCTGCAAAATGAAACAAATTGCAAACCATTTAATTCACAGGCCATCCACTGCCATACATACACAGTGAAGACAGTCTTAAAAGTGTTATACTTGAGCTTGGTCTAGCCATCTTTGGAGCGCTCCAGTTCAGTCTGACTGCCGCACAGAGGTGAGAGGTCAGCCCCCTACACATCAACTGCCGCACAATCATTGAGGGTTAAATGTCACTCTGCACAGCAAGAAAATCAGAAAAATATACATATAAACAACCCGAAATGACACGTACTCACCAGCAGACACACACAGAATCAGAGAATGAGATTAAAGCACTTCCTCTTTCTGTTCGGAGATGTTCCTTTGCTAGAAAAGCAGGTGTGTGGAGGAAGTAGTCTGACAGGTTGGGGATTTCTGTAATGGTATCCTTCTTCTATTCATAATCTCACAAAGCGTCAAAAACTTTATTAGTTATAATAAAACTCCTTTGTGTAGCTTTTTAAAGAAAAAAGAAAAGAAAAATACTATTTGTATATATAAAGTATATGTATATATTTATTTAAATACATTTGAAAAGATTTACTACATTGTTAAATTTAACATTTTAAATTAAAAGTTTAATTAACCCATTGAAATGCAATCCATAAATATGAAAACATAAAACACCAAATTTGGGGGGGAAAATTAAACGACTTTTACATATACACTTAAGGAAATGATTGAGCATAAAATCTGACTCATGGGTCATTGCTGTCATGCATTAAGTTTCCATTTCCTCAATACATTTTAAAAGTTTTGTTTATATTTGTTTTATAACAATATAATAATTAAGTGAACTTACAGTATGAGTGAATTTTAAATATTGTAACTACAAAGCTGTTTCGAACCAGAAATGTTTTGGGAATATTTTTTATTGGGAATATGGTTGTACTTGTAATAATGTCACAGGCTTTTCCCATGTCCTCAATTTTACTTATTTCTGGTGTGAAACAACAACAGACATCTGTAAGTATTGATATGCCTCGATCAATTCAGTGAGGTTTGACTTATTAGCTGGTTTGTCACTTTAAAATCCTAGACTCTGTTTGATAAAAATGAAAAACGTATTTACATAACTTAGATTATACACCCCAATGCATAAGCATTTATTTCCATTCTGTTAAGAACCATGTTTTTTGCTTTATTTACAGCCTAGTTAATTTTCTTGCAAATGTGTCAATAATTTTATTAATAAAATAAAATGTTAAAAACACTAATAAAGTGCATGCTTGACCTGAGCATATTTCTGAATATCTGGTATGGTGGTGCACCCCTTTATTTGATGTAGTTCCTTAATAAAACAGCACAGCCATATTCATTTTTTGTAAGTTACAGTTGTCACATAAGAGGAATGAGTCTGGCCCTCATGCACGAGAATCGTGGCACTATTGCAGGATCACAGGAACATGAAAAGAGGACAGTACTGAGAAGGTGCAATAAATTAAAACTTCAATAAGCATATGTGGACCTTGAAGGACCTTGTAAAATGACCACAGCTGTGCAGAGGCACAATAGTTCCCTGCTCTCAAATAAGCCTATTAACTCATTTGAAAAACATTTGATAGGTCAAACATGGACAACAAAGCAGCATGTGCAGTACATGCTGATACTTTGCCACATGACTGAACACACAGCTATCTAACAGAATGAAAGGAAAGTAACAGCTACCTGCCTGTGTTGTGCTGACTTCTGTCACACAGGTTGTGTAACGTTAGATTTAGTCCAGCAGAGCAGAAGATGAAATATTTATTACATCCACTCAGTTGCTGTCATGAGCCAATAGAAGAGGGTGCACTGCCATCGGCTTTGAGACTAAATTGCACGCACAACACGAACCATGAGACGACTCAAGTTACTATTAACTTTCATATTAGACACCCCTGAGGGGCGTTTGGTGGCTCAGAAAACTCAAGCGTCCATTGAGCCACATTCAAATCTCTGAACGCATTTTGAGTTATTGATGATATTTGTGCACCATAACGTATAAAATATTAAATAAATTCATTTCAAGGATTGTTATCTGACACACAAGCAGACTAACTCACCACAGTAATTTCTATCAAATCACATTCGAAAAATCTTATCCAGTAATCACATTCGACTGTGAGTGGTGCATCCTAACCATTGATGAGAAAAGTAACACGCATCACGAGGTTATGTGCTTCTTCAGCGTCGGCCTGGACAATAATTTGCAACGGAATAATGGCACTAATAAACTTTAATAGCCAATGGATTGATATTAAAAGGGTGAAGATTTTAAATATGACAATTATTATTTAGACACATAATACTTGACCAATAAGAGGAAACGTCTGAGCCACTAAACCCCGCCCGTTTTTCACTTTCATTCTAATGTTTTTGAGAAGAACACGCTGATAGTGAAGACTGGTGCAGACAGCCGGTCATGGAAAGAGCTAGCGACCTCTAGCGTGGAGAATATAATACTGTCAGTGGCTGTATCACAATTAAAAATACAGCAGAACAAGACGCTTGAAATATGTAGAAAAAAGGCTGATTTCATTGACAGCCTGGTAAGTCATTTAAATTGAATTTGAAATGTAGTGAATACAATTTTGGATGTACTGTCCCCATCCGTTATCCATTCCCAATATTGCTTATAATTTGCAAATTATAATCATATCAATTAGCTTATATATATATATATATATATGCTACTGTATATTAGTGCCGTCAAATGATTAATCGCGATTTATTGTGATGGTGAGTTGTATACAATATTTGGTATTTTATTTTAATGTTGCATAATTTATTTACACACACCCTTTATGTTTGTGCACATATTACATTACAAATATCCACACCCTCTTTGTCTCCCAAAGTGCCAAAAAATTAATCCAGAAACATCTTATGAAACATTATAAAATGCACGCATTCATCCAGTGGGCATGAACAGACATGCACTGTCTGGAACAACCAGCATCATCTCTGGGGTTGATCTTTCCAGAAGCTTTCCTTGCATACTCGAAGCTGTGAATCAGTATTCTGAGGTAAAGATGAAAATATCCATTACAGAACAACAAAGATTTAATGACTTCATTAAGCATGTGACTCCTCTGAAACATGACCAGAGTGACACAAACTGTACACGGACTCCTCCCATTACAACCTCATATACAGACAATAGTGGGAGGCACAAGAAAACGCCATACTCTCTCCAGTCTGTCTTTTACCTTAACTGTAAAAGATGGCAGAGGAAGAAGCTGGTATTTTTGTTAACCAGGAGCAGTTCAGCTGTCCCATCTGTATGGACCTTCTGCGGGACCCCGTGACCATTCCTTGTGGACACAACTACTGTTTGGAGTGCATTAAGAGCTACTGGGAGCAGAAGAACCAGAAGAAGTTGTGCAGCTGTCCAGAGTGCAGACAGACCTTCTCCCCGAGACCTGCGCTCAACAAAAACACACTGTTTGCTGAAGTTGTTGAGAAACTGAGACAGACTGGAATGCGTTCCCCCACCATCCCCGGAGCGGAGAATGATGAAGACATTGCAAAAGAAAAGCAGGTCCTCCTCATGTTCTGTCAGGTGTGTCTGACTTCTCTTCTGACTTTAAATGGGATGATAAAACTTCACAATAACTAAGCATAGCAAGAGCTTTAATAAATAAGTCATTAAAGTGTCAGTTAATTTATGTATGTTGCCCCTTAAAAGTATTTTAAAGGCACAATATGTAATTTTCGCCGCTAGAGGGCACGTATTCAAAATAAACAGAGACAAAGGCGTAGTTTGATGACGCTGTGACTGAGTGTGGAATCATGGGAGTTGTGGTCTTCATTCCCACAGCCGATGCAATCCGACAAAACTCGGGCAGAAATCATGTTTATGGATGAGCTAATGATTTATTAGCGTAGTAGAATGAAGCAGGGTGAGGCTGAAAGCCGTCGAAGCGAAACGAGGCCGCTGAACCAGCGCGACACACAGCTCGAAAGCAGTGGAGCTTTTATTATGCCACAGTCGACCGCTTCCGCTCCTTCCGGTCGTGCGTATGTGGGGTAAAGCAGCGCTGTTTTATCATACTAGATACATTTGAAAGTTCTGTTATAATGCTACTCTGTGCAGGCAAGGCCGTTTCTAGGCATAGGCGAGCTAGGCGGTCGCCTAGGGCGCCACCAGCTGAAGGGGCGCCAATGAGCCTCTGAAAAGAATTATATATATAAATAATTGGGGGGGATTTTGCCTGTCTAATAAAACACAACATATTAAAGCGTCTTTGGTGTTTCAATGTGTTTTACGGAAATCAAGGGTGTATGACGTCATTGGCAGGCAACACAATTACACTATAGACACGCTCCGTGTCACTAGTTAAAATTGCTTATTTCTCTGGATTTAAACATTCTTTGAAACATTTGTGATAATGTAAGTACACAAGTCAGCAAACTACATAACACTGTTCTAGTGTTTTTTGGCTATTTTAATAAAAAACAAATCTTGCATATTGTGCCTTTAGTACTTAATCCTCAAATGTATGAATATAATTGCGTTATATAACAAAATATCAAACTAAGCAGGATTTGTCTTTGGACAAATAATGGAACAAGTACATTATACATTTCAAAATTAAGTTTTAAATGATTAAACATAGATTAAATTATTAAATTGATAAAAATAGATATAATGTGTGTGTGTTATTATATTACAGTAAAAAAGGTCCTTGAATATAAATTTTTCAAGGTAAATGTTGTATTGTTTTGTAAGGTCTGTTTTGGGTTTTGTTTCTGGTTTAGGGTTTCATGTCTTTTATTTTGATATTTTGCCTTGTTTTATGTTCCTGTCATGTGATCCTGCCATGTGGTACTCTTGACTGTGTGTCATGTTCTGATTGGTTGTCCTAGTCATGTGTCTTGTTTCCTCATTGGTTGGTTCTTGTCATGTGACCCTGATTGTTTGCTATAAGTAGCCATCAAGTAGCCTTTGTGCTTTGTCGTGTATTGAATGTATTTATCCTGCTGTCGATGAGTGTTTAAGTCATAGTCAGGTTAAGTCAACTCAAGTCTAGTCTGTTCAAGTCAAGTCTTCGTTTGTTGGTATTTTGGATTACACTTTGTTTAATAAAATCTGCACTTGGATTCACTACGCTCGCCTACAGTGGACTATCATTACATGTTTAGGGTTTCTTTTTACAAATATGATAAATGATTAATTTCTAAGTATCAATAAGTATTTTTTCCCTAATAAATAATAATTGTAATATAAAAATAGTGATATATCAGGCTTTTTTGCTGATTTTTAACTTTATGTCTCAAAAATATCAAAATGAATTTTAATCAGAGATGAAAAACATGCTCACCACAGAAGAAATGTTGAAAAACATTTAAAACTGGTACTTTATGGCTCACAAGGGCAGTGGAATAAATCAACTAGGAACAAAAAGAGATCTAGTAGTACTTGTAATGATGGAGAAAAGAACCTGATACAGGTTTGAAAGCCAAAATATATAATTCAATTCTCCTCACATGTGCTGCTGGATTTCTTTTTGTTGTTTCAAAAAATATGTTTCTTCATGTATTTATCCTCTGGTCTGCAGAAAGAGCTTAAGCAGTCACAGAGGAGATGCCAGCAGGTCATAAAGGAGCGCGAGACGGAGCTACAGGACCTGAGTCACGCCGTCCTCTCTCTCAAGGTGAGTCTATTACTGCCAGGAGGTAGAAAATCTTAATGGACAAGTGGAATAGTGTGGGTCAACTTATGATCCTCATTAGACCCGTTATACACAGAGAGGTTCTTGGACTCATCACTTCTCTGGTTCTGTTTGTTGTATAACAGAGCTCTGCTCAGGCAGCAGTGGAGGATACGGAGAAGATCTTCAGTGAGCTGATTCAGTCCATTGAGGCACTGTGTTTTGAGGTGACAGAGATGATAAAAGCAAAGGAGCAGATGGAATTAGACGAGGCACATGGATTTATGGAGAAACTAGAGCAGGAGATCGCAGAGTTCAAGAGGAGAGATGCTGAATACGACACGCTTGCACACCTTAATGATGAAACTCAGTTCCTGAAGGTAGCGTCAGTGCTAAAGTACGTGTCATTTGTGATTTTGGTCTAAGAGAGTTTATTTCATTATATTCCTCAGAGCTATGAAGCACTGTGTAGTCAGCCGGAGTTGGTGACCTCTCCTGCAGTTCTAGTCAATCCGGACTTCTCTTTTGAGATGGTGTCAAGAAAACTCACATATCTGTGTGAGGACATTAAAGATCTGTGCCAGAAGAAATTGGAGAAATTGTCAAAAAAAGGTAAGTCATCATCTGAATATGTTTGGAGTAGTATGCTAACTAAACATTTCAGTGTAAAATTGCAGTATATTCCAGGTTCATAATTGCATTACTTTAATAGTAATTTCAGTGTAGGACTTCTCTTGTGTATAACTGGTTAATGACAGCTTTATAATAAACAAGAGCAGTAAATGACATGTTGTTAGCAGCATTCTGCTGTTTCACAGTAATTTGGCAGAAAATAACCCAATGTGCATTTATTTCACAGCAAATTTTTGACCTAATTTATCTAATACTGTAAATTCATGACAAATTGTACAGTGCATTTCAATGTGATTAATGAATCACATTCTGATTCATTATTATTGCATAATATTGCCAGAAGTCTTTTTATTTTATTTTATTTTATTTTGCTAAATTAAATGATAAGCCACTGAATTAAAAACTAGTGCTGGGCAATGATTAATCACGATTAATCGCATCCAAAATAAAAGTTTTAGTGTACATAATAGAACCATTTTTTCCCTAGTCTTAAGAATTTTTTTTCAACTATAAAGAACATTTAGTTCAATGGAAAGATTCAATGGATGTCAAGGGTTCTTCATTGAGCCATCAATGCTAATAAAGAATCTTATAGCCTCGCTGATGGTCATGGTGATAAATATCAGTTTCAGTCACAAACCAACAAATTGAACAATCATTTTCTGGAACCAGAACTCTCCGCCTTATAAAACAAGCAAACCTATATTTACAAAATGTATATACATATATATATGCACACTGTATATATAGGCACTTTTTTAGACGCCAGTAAAATATAGAATTTAACATCCAAAGACATTTAACATTTACAATTGGGGCCTCTTATGAGCAAAAAACCTACAAATCAAAACACACTTTTATCAATTTATTTGAAAAATAAAAAACATTCAACCCATTTTCATACATTAGACAACAGAACTGCAACAGCTTTACATTCATCACAGATTCAGACATTATTCTTCATTCTTGAAGGTGATGTGTAATTTCTTTATAAATGGAATTGCAAAAATAACTGTTTTCAAACTAAAACTTCCTAAACACCCCTAATGTATTGTACAGACAGACAGATAGTCATTCACACAATAGTTCAACCAATGTTGCCATGTCAGGCTGGTTGTTTTTCACATTTACTTTCACTGTGCTGTTTAATATAAAAAAATGACACTTTTTCAGCTTTACATGAAGAGATGCAGTATAAATTGCAATTACCTTTTATTCAGGCAGAAAACCTGGTAATGCAACATTTTCTTCATCTACTACTTCATTTACATACAGTGCCGTGAAAAGGTTTTTGCCCCCTTCCTGTTTTTTTATTTTTTTTGCATATTTGTCACACTTAAAAGATTCAGATCATCAAACACATTTTAATATTACATAAAGATAATGCAAGTAAATACAAAATGCCGTTTTTAGATGATGATTTCATTTATTAAGGGAAAAAAGCTGTCCAAACCTACCTGGCCATACATGAAAAATCAATTGCCCCCTCCTGTTCATGAAATCATGAAAGAACTGTGATTAACCACATTATTTTAGAAAGCTGAGTTCAATTTCACTAGCCACACCCAAGCCTGATTACTGCCAGACCTGTTGAATCAAGAAATCACTTAAATAGAACCTGTCTGACAAAGTGACGCATGCTTAAAGAGCAACACATCATGCCGCGAGCTAAAGAAATTCAAGAACAGATGAGAATCAAAACAGTTGACATGTATCAGTCTGGAAAGGGTTATAAAGTCATTTCTAAGGCTTTGGGACTCCAGCGAACCACGGTCAGAGCCATTATCCACAAATGGAGAAAACTTGGAACAATGGTGAACCTTCCCAGGAGTTGCCGGCCAACCAAAATTACTCCAAGAGCACAACGACGACTCATCCAAGAGGTCATAAAAGAACCCAGAACAACATCTAAAGAACTGCAGGCCTCACTTGCCTCAATTAAGGTCAGTGTTCATGATTCAACAATAAGAAAGAGACTGGGCAAAAACGGCATCCATGGGAGAGTTCCAAGGCAAAAGCCACTGCTGACCAAAAAGAACACAAAGGCTCGTCTCACATTTGCCAAAAAATATCTGGATTATCCCCAAGAGTTTTGAGCAAATATTCTGTGGACTGATGAGACAAAAGTTGAACTTTTTGGAAGGTTTGTGTCCCGTTACATCTGGGGTAAAAAGAATGTCATACCAAGTCAAACATGGTGGTGGTAGTGTGATGGTCTGGGGCTGCTTTGCAGCTTCAGGAACTGGACATCTTGCCATAATTGACGGAACCATGAAATCTGCACTCTATCAGAAAATCCTGAAGGAGAATGTCCAGCCATCAGTTTGTGACCTCAAGCTCAAGCACACTTGGGTTATGCAGCAGGACAATGATCCCAAACACACCAGCAAGCCCACCTCTGAATGGCTCAAGAAAAACTAAATTAAGGTTTTGGAGTGGCCAAATCAAAGTCCGGACTTAAATCCGATTGAGATGCTTAAACAGTCCATTCATGCTCGAAAACCCTCCAATGTGGCTGAATTAAAACAATTCTGCAAAGAAGAGTGGGCCAAAATTCCTCCACAGCGATGTGAAAGACTCATTGACAGTTATCTCAAACGCTTGATTGCAGTTGTTGCTGCAAAGGGAGGCACAACCAGTTATTAGATCTAGGAGGCAATTCGTTTTTCACATAGTGCCAGGCAGGTTTGGACAGCTTTTTTCCCTTCATAAATGAAATAATTATTTCAAAACTGCATTTTGTATTTACTCGGGTTATCTTTGTGTGATAATAAAATTTGTTTGTTGATCTGAATCATTCAAATGTGACAAATATGTAAAAAAAAAAAAAAAAAAAAAATTTAAAACAGGACGGGGGCAAAAACATGTTCACAGCACCGTATGCAGACAGGAATGTAACTGCAGATAAAAACGGATGGAACTTCAATAACACAGTATTAAGCACAAATCTATGCATTTCACTCTTTTGACCATATGTTTTACTAGATTTTACTAGAAGTTAAATATAGTAAATATAACCATTAACAAAGTCTCTGGCTGCCGGTTGATTTGCATTGATAAAATATAGTCAATCCCTAATTACAGGGACAAACCCAAAGCCTCACCAGCATCTTTCTGGACACAGTCATACAGTATCAAAACTGAAAGATATCTCCATTCAAGGCACTGTACTGTAACTGATATGAATATACACAAATATGATGGACAGACAGCACAATGTGTAAGGCGACTGAAAACAGAAGCTACATTCCAAAGTAAGGTGTTGCCATTATAACAATATGGTGCTTTATATCTGAATACACATAATTGTATATGACTAACAGATTAGTTAGGCACATCGCATGTGTTTGACAAATAAAATGACTGCGAAGCAAACAATGTGTCATGTACACCCAGGTAGTCCGGTTTGTTGTTGCTCACAGAGTGCAAAAGCAGTCAAACAGGACATAAACTAGTTTGTGTTGAATCTGTCACAACAAAGGTCAGTTTGATGGATTCATATAGAGTCATCTGTAAATGTTTTTCCAGTATATTTGAATAACATAATGCCACAATTTAAAATATTGAGCATAATTCATGACCCAGGCTGACATAAATATTCTGTGCAAAAGTTTGGGGTGTGTAATATTTTTCATGTTTTTGAAACGTCTTCTATTATGCTCAACAAGGCTGCATTTATTTGATTTAAAAGTGCAATAAAACAATTTAAAATTAATGTTTTCTATTTTAATATATTTAAAAAATGTAATTTATTCCAGTGAAGGCTCACATGATCATTTAGAAATCATTCTAATATGCTGATTTGGTGCTCAAAAAATTCTTACTATCCATGTTGAAAAGAACTGTGCCAGTATTCTTGTGGAAACCGTGACAATTTTTTCAGACTTCTTTGATTAATAAAAAGTTCAAAAGAACAGCTTTTATTTTACATAGAAATGTTTTGCAACATTATACATGTGTTTATAGTAGTGCTGTCAAACAATTAATCGCGATTAATCGCATCCAAAATACAAGGTTTTTTTTACATAATATGTGCGTACTGTGTATATTTATTATGTATATATAAAGACACACATACAGCATATATTTTGAAAATATTTACGTGTATATATTTAACTTCATATAAATTATATCATATATAAATATATTACATATATAAACTTAACATAGTTTTCTTAAATATATCCATGCATGTGTGTGTATTTATATATACAAAATAAATATACACAGTACACACACATATATTATGTAAACAAAAACTTTTATTTTGGATGCAATTAATCACGATTAATCATTTGACAGCACTAGTTTATAGTCATTTTGATCATTTGCTTCCTTGTGGAATAAAAGCACTAATTTCTTAAAGAATTAAAAAAAAAAAAACTGACCCTAAACTTTTGAACAGAAGTATATAAATGTGAATAACAGTAATAGTGTGAATGTGTGAATAACAGTTATAGTGTGAATTATATAAAATATACATATATATATATAAAACACATTTGATATTAATGTTATATTTAATTAAAATATATATATATATATATATTACATTAGAATATATTATATATTAGGCACACATTAGACTATATTAGCTCTGAGCGGACAGCCACCTCTGTATCCAGTGCACTGATTAAATACTACACTATATACATTGTCAATCAGTATAAAACAAGAATATGTGTTTGTGAGGCACTAAAAAAAATACATTAATCGCGATTAATCGCATCCAAAATACAAGGTTTTTTTTACATAATATGTGCGTACTGTGTATATTTATTATGTATATATAAAGACACACACATACAGCATATATTTTGAAAATATTTACGTGTATATATTTAACTTCATATAAATTATATCATATATAAATATATTACATATATAAACTTAACATAGTTTTCTTAAATATATCCATGCATGTGTGTGTATTTATATATACAAAATAAATATACACAGTACACACACATATATTATGTAAACAAAAACTTTTATTTTGGATGCAATTAATCACGATTAATCATTTGACAGCACTAGTTTATAGTCATTTTGATCATTTGCTTCCTTGTGGAATAAAAGCACTAATTTCTTAAAGAATTAAAAAAAAAAAAAACTGACCCTAAACTTTTGAACAGAAGTATATAAATGTGAATAACAGTAATAGTGTGAATGTGTGAATAACAGTTATAGTGTGAATTATATAAAATATACATATATATATATAAAACAC